GACAAAGAGCATCCCCAGAACAAAGTGACAAGTGTGGCCGTTTCTCACCAAACATGGCCTCACCAACATGCATCCCGTGATGGTGCTGGGGGACCTAGCGGGAGGCATTGCAGCCCCCTTTCCCCATTACATCCACACCTCCATTCAAAAATTGTTCCAGCTACCGAATCCCCAAACACACAACTGGTGCAGCCATTTTACATCTCATCTGAGCCACTCCCTTAGACACTACAGTCATTAAGAATAAAAATAATAAAAAACAAAACACAACAACAATGCTTCCAAGCTTTCACACTTCCGATGCAATGTATCCTGGGCATGTTTGTTGGCATCCTGCTATCCCTCAGTCTCCCCACAAATCTTCCTGCATTGTGACCACATGTCTCCCTGCTTTCCCCTCCACAAACCACCTGTCTCCTCCTGGCCTTTTTGGCTTCAAACCACCTGATCCAGCTCAAATGCACGGGGCCCAGGTGTTGCATAGAGCCAGCAAAAAAAAAACAACCCTGACTCCACTGAAAATGCACACTTGTTCCTTCAACACCCTTATTATTAATTGCTATAAAACTTAATTTTATTCATCATTTGTTATGCCTCAAAATTGGATGGGAAAAAAAATTCAAATTAAGCAAAGTGAAAAGATTTCAGAGATGGTACAGAAGGCTCCTGAAGGAACTGAAGAAAACTCTCCGGAGACTGGGAATGCAGCGCTAACCCAACCTGAAAGGAAGAAGATCTTAAGACAAAGAAATCTTTCCAAATTGATCCTTTAATTATAACATTAGTCGTTTCTTTCAAAGGCTTAATACAAGAGCTGGGGGTGGGGGGCAGAAAAGTCTTAAAGGGAGAAAAGACTTAACATCACCAGGATGAGTAGAAGCAATTAGGAGGATTTAAATTACTCTCTTGTTTGGTACAAGGCAGATAGATTTCATTTTTCTTGCCATTGTGCTCAACTTCTTGCTCTGCCATCAGCTTCCAGAGGTCTTCTCCTTGGCAAATCTGAGGACCCAACCTTCCCAGGTTATGCAGCAACCCCTTCCACTCTGCACCCACTCAGCTATTGCTGCAGATCACGAATATCAGTGACTATAGCAGCTTTGTCACCCTGGAAAGGGCTGGAAGTATGAGACTAGATAGGGGAAAGGAGTCCACCAGGACTACAGGTCTATCTCAACAGGAGGACAGATGCTGCAATGAATGACAGAGGGCTTTACTGCAGGGGCTGAGGAAAAGGAGATGGAAAAGAGTCAAAACACATCCTGTCTGGGATCAGAAATTCCACATGGAAGAGTGAAAATAAAAAATAAGTCATGCTTGGAAGCATAACATTGAGGACCCATCTTCTTGCTCCCAGCGACAAGCTAGACATAAGCCATCTTCTTGCCAGGAGGGACAAAGGAGGAGGACCACTGCTGTGGCTAGGACAGGTGAGCTGTAGTCATTGCTGGGATGGCATTACTGCTGCCACAGCAACCTGCATGCCACAGGCAGTGGGGTCGAGCCAGTACAGCTCTCACCCGGTCTCTGCTGCTCTGGAGATGCAGTATGAACACACAGATCCAAAGTGCTTACTTGAGAAACAACTGAACAAAAGAAAATGTCCATTTCACAAAGAATGGAAAGCAAACTTTTGCAAATCTCCAGCACGGGGCACATGCAGCTTTGCATCCCCATGACTCAAAGCCGACCAGGCACAGGAGACTGCCTGCAACAGGCCATCAGCCACAGGATGGGAGGAGGTCCCAGCCACCTCTCCTACCCATCCCACAGTACGGGTGGCTGCAACACACAACTCTTTCTGCACTACAGCAGTTCTCCCTGGGAAGAGGTGCAGAGCTGTGAGTACACCCTGCCCCCCCACAGCAGGGTGCTGGATGACACCACTCTCAAGCCACAGGACAGCAGCAGGCAACACTTTATGATACAAGTCTCAGCATCTTCCCAAGCTCCCAAATCCACCAACTGCCACGTGGCAGAAAACAGGGTGTTTCAGCTGATGCTCCATCCTCACTTGCTCCTACTGACTCTCTTCTGCCAGAATTATTTTGGTATCTTGTGTAGCTTTAAAAGCTGAGCAGTCACATCTCCTTGGGCTTCATACCTGCTCTGAAAGAGGAACAGGGCCAATTTTTTTTTCCTTGCCTGCTTTCAGTTAGAACTAATTGATCTGTAATTGCACCCATAGAGGGGGAACGTTAATAGACATGGTAATAAATGCCAAAGCCCCAGAAGAACTGGTTCTCCGAGCCCCTGCCTGGAGTGACTCCATCTCCTCTTAATAGCATTGCATGCAATCCCAGTGCATGTGTGCGTGTTAGTATTTAGAGAGAAAAATCGAGGAGCCTCAGTATGATGGAAATAATTTCTTTTCCTCTCCCACATACTCTGTGCTTAGGAGCAGATGGATCCAGGCTGTTTACATCACGGAGGTCATGCCTCAGCTTAACAGTTGGGGAACTGACTGTTGGGAGAGATGCGCATCGCAATCAGAAGATTGCTAAATCTGGGCTCCGGCAAACTTCTCATGGTAGCAAGTTAAACATACAAATGTCCTCCTGCAGCCTCTTCGCATTCAGGACCTGTGACTCGGGTGTTTGATTGTTTCCCCAAGGAAAACCACTGCTGAGACAAAGTGCAGGCAGAGAAGCAGCTCTGCAGCAGCTTGTGAGCATGAACTTTGAGAAGAAGGTTGGAAATCCCAAGCGGACCTCACTGTTCGCCAACGCAGATGGTGTAGTTTGAAAGCAACATGGGCCCAGGATTCTACAAGCAGGCTACCAGGGCTCACTGCTCACCGCTGCGCCCCGAGGTAACAGAGCAACTGTGATTTCAGCTTGCTGGGCATGGCTGCCTGTCTTCTCTCAAAGCAGTACTATAGCACTGGGGGAAGGTTTCCATCGCATGGAGATATTTCCATGGAGCTCATCGCTAAAGTGACCTCTTCCTAGCTCAGCCCAGCCATAGGGCATGCAGGGGGATCCAGCCAGACCCTGTGGGCTCATCCAGCTCAGAGGCTGAGGGTACAAAGGCCACCCCTCCCCTTCCCACAGCAAAGCCAAGTGCTCTCCTCTGGCACAAGAGGACTATGAGAAGCATTAAAAACAATACAAACTAAGCAAGCAAAGCGAGGAACAAAGCCCTTCTTATTTCACTCAAGGACATGCATTGTTTGTGTGCAGAGGTACCTTCTCCTGCCTCTCATCACATCCCTTCGTATGACTCCAGCAAGAAGATGCTCCAGTACCGCCGAGGCCCTGCATCCACTGAGCCACAGAGGATGCCTGTGGCCACGGCCAGGCAGGAGGCCACACGTGGTGGCCTGGCCATCAGGTGGCAGAGCCCCGCTCGCTCAGCCCTGCGGGGAGCTGAGCAGTCGCGCTTTTCCCTAGGTATCTGGCACGCCACGAGAGCATCTCCATTGCCAATTAGGCCACCCACCCACTTGCATCCTTCCCTGATACAAACCCGATTAGCGATAAACAAACAGAGGAGATGCCAGCCGGTGCCTGGGAAGAGCCCCAGACAGCTGCACCCAGCCCGGCGGGCGCAGGAGCAGCTGCCTCGCGCAGCCCAGTGCAGGCCAGGGCACAGGCTGGGCACCCCTGTGGGCACCCTCCGGCCACCCTGTGGTCTTCCAGCCAGTGGCTGGCTTGCAGCCTAGAGTGGTGCTATCACACCAGCACCAAAGGCCTCGGTGCCCACACGACACACTACATTGGCACAGCTCAACACTTCGGTAAGGGTCTTTCCCAGCTGCTTTGCCTTGAGCTTCCCAACCTTCCTTCTCTGGGCTTTTGCTGGAAAGCTCCTGCTTGACACTGATGCTTAGTTGGGCTCTGCTCAAATCTGCAAGCTGGATGTGGCAAAAGAAACACAAATGCCACCCAACAGTTCTTGGACATCTTCATCCTCCGTGAGAGCTCCCTCCATGCAAGGCAGGGTGAAACCGTTCCTGCAGCCTGTCCCCAGAGCCCCTGGACTCAGTCAGACCCCAGACTGAGAGCTGGGGAAATCCAACCCACCTGAAGCCCAGTCTGCCACTCCAGAAGCCCTCTTGAAACCACCACCACATTTGAACTCATGGGGACACTTGGGACAGTGAGAGAAGACAAGGGCAAATCTCCACATGGATCCCTGTATCTAAGGTCTTTCCAGCTGGCCACACCAGTGCTATGGTGGCTACTTTTGCCACAATGGGCAATTAGGAAAAACTGACCTGCTGCTGGGCACAGGGTTGTTGCTGCCATCTGTGGCAAGGGCAGAGAAGCCCACCTCCCCCTCCCACTGCAGGACAGTGCATGCTCTCCCCACACACCAACCCCTGCCAGCAGTTGAGGGTGTGCTGATGCAACCACAGTTTATTGTCATGGAGACAAGAAGCCTTTTTTCTCTCCAAATCCAGCTTAATGGCTTAGATTGGAACCTTTCCCCTGGGGGAAGTCGAACAGAAACAGCTGGGTTGTCCCTATGTCCCCAGCTTGCCCATATGTACTCCGGACACCCTTACCCTCACCAGTGTGCATCTCCCACCAGCCCTGGGCAAATCTTCCCACCATGGCCTGCACAGCATGGAGGTGCCCTGCATCACTCCCAAACCCATCCCAACCCATGCTCACCACATTCCATCAGCCAGCAAATGCACACCCCACTACAAACACATCCCAGACTCAAACACATTTCCACAAGGCCTCCCCATACCTCTCCCCTCCAGCAGATCCTAAGTAGCCAAAGGATCGACACCAACCATTTCTCACAGATGACCAAAACCACAAGCTCTTCAGCAAGGTGAAACAAGAAAGCATCTTAAAGGCTGCCCCTTTCCCAGCTCCTCAGGGAGCAAAGGAGCTAAGCAGAGCCTGGGAGCAATCCTTTGCTGTAGGGCAGGCAGGCATGGAGGGGATGGGGGGACCAGATATTGGTGTCCTGGGGGCACAGGAGTACCAGGGGCCAACTCTGGGGCTCAGAGACATGGAAGGGAAAGACAGCATCACGCTTACCCTGACAGCACTCCCAGGACAAGGTTGAGGACAAAGAAGGATCCAATGATGATGAGGGGGATGAAGTACAGCCAGTTCCAGGTGGCTCCTAAGGCATCATTGGTCTGGAGGGGAAAGAAAAAAACACGTGTGACGTTACCTTCAACACCGGCACCAGGGGCAGAGGGAGGGTGACAGTTCTCCAGTCTGACCACACCAGGCTCCTCAGGGTCGTGTGGCCAAGCCTGGATGAGCACTGGGTGCTTCCTGTGCAAGCTTGCCTGCTGGGGAGATCCCAGCCAGAGGTGCCCTGATGCTCCTTGGTATGTCCCTGCCTATGGCAGGAAGGTCGGAACTAGGTGATCTTTAAGGTTCCTTCCAACCCAAACCATTCTATTATTCTATGATCCTGCCCCAGCCATGCTTTTCTCCATGGTCTCCAGCCCTCATTGGGCAGGACCACTCCTCCTTTGCCTCCTCCTACCATCTCTGCAGGGATGCAGCAGATGTGAAACAGTGGTATAGTAAAAGGTGCAGGGGCCTGCAGCACAAAATCAGGGTGCTGAGGTCACGGGGACCACCCTGAGCATGCCTTGTCCAGCATCTTGATTTGGTTCCCCCCTGTACACCTCACTGAGACAGGGCAAAGCAGCCCGACAGCAGCTCAGCCTGCTGAGCACAGCACAGGTTAAGAAGGAAAGATTTACAAGGTGCCTCAGGGCCAAGGAAGCTGGTGGCCAACACTTGCTCCTCCATGCACGGTGGGAAAGGACCTGGAGCAGACAAGCCCTGCACCTTCAAATGGGCATTTTGCCGTCAGCATCATCACTAATACCTTGCAGACACCCTCATGCATGGGGTGTGTTCCCTCAACACCAAGACGCTGAGAAGGGAGGGGAGCTCTAACCACAGGGCAAAGCCTGACTTCTAAAAAGACTGCTGGCGAGTCCTGCTCGGTACTTCCAGACATTTTTTCACTGAGGCTTTTAATAAAGCAGTGCCCCTCCATCCCTCACAGGCACTTCCCAGGCCCCATTTGTCCTCCAGTGTCAGGCACTGTCATGTGCGCCCATGACGCCGGGCTGGAGGGTGATGCGGCAGAACGTGACTGTCTGGGGGAGGTGGTATCAATCTTGTTGCAATGAAAGGCTCTTTCTCTTTTCTTTTTCTTCCCCCCTCTTCCCCTGCTAATTAAGCCCTCATCTTTGTCTGAGTCATTGGCACCACATCTCCCGGTCGGCCAGTGCAGGTGCCGAGACGAGGCTCTGCAAGGGGAGAAGCACATCTGAGGGGGGAGAGAAAGCCACTGCACTCGAGTCTTCCTCTGGTGACTGATGCACCAGTGGGAACCTCAGCCAGGCATCCCCACCACCCTGACACCGTGCCCGAGGCACGAAGGCTGACTCCAGCACATCCTGATGCAGGCACTGGCCACAGCACCAGGATTGGGATGCTGTGGGCAGAGACCCCAGTGCCAAGGAGCACCTGGCACACAGCAGCAGTCAGGGCTTTGAGGCTGGGCAAAGCATCTGGAAAGACTCACTGTCCTCCTCCTTTGGTACCAGGGAAGCCATGTGCATCTTCTCAAGGTCCTGCACCTTCCCATAGCCCCAGTCAACCACCAGACCCTTTCCTCAGGGTCACAGGAGAGGCAAGTGCATGGAGGTGGGAATGATGCATGGGAATCCCATACAGCCAACACTCATCACCACCCTCCAGAGACACCCAGGCCACAGTGCTCTTCTCTAAACAGCACTGTTTGCCATGGCATTAGTCTTCAAGGCATCATGAAACCCCTTGGCTCAAGTCTGGCTGCACTTCAGCTCCCAGTCAATACACTATTGCATACTTGCTACCCACGGCAGGATTGCTCGCCTTTGAAACTGTCTCCTGCCCAAAACCCACGCATTTCCCCCAAGGCCCTTGGCACAGAGGATGCAAAACGGATGAGGTCATTTCCCACGGGTGAAGAAGACATCTCCCCCCAAGGCTGGGCCATCACCACCCCTCCTCCTTTGGTCTTCTCGTCTCCACCAATGCTCAGCAGGAGATGGAGGGGTATATGGAGATGAGATGATGGAGCAGAGGCCAACTTTCCCAGGGTATCACCAGCCAGCAATACCAGCACCAGCACTCCAACCATGTTTTCCCCCTTCATTACATGGGCACAGCAAAGCTGGTGGCACTAAGGATCTGCAGCTGGATAACCAGAGGCAGGGGCTCAGCAGCACCCTGATGGGATGGGCTGTCTACAGTCCAAACCTCTATGTGCATTTGGGTACCTAGCTCCCATGGGGATAGAGGTAAAAGGGATTAGAGGCATTTTAGGGGGCTTGGGGAATACATGCCCAGCACCACTATCAGCCAGCAGCCCCAGCAGGGGCGTTGCTGGGGTTGGGAAGGGGATGGGGAACTGTGGTCATGGACTCAACATACCTAAGGATGTACCACTGGCCACAGAGTGGCTTAGAGATGGTCCCAGCCACTTGGACCAATGCCAACAGCCCCCAGAATACTCCTGCTCTGAGCAGCCACATAGTCCCCCTGGCTGATGCCAGCTTTGCTGGGGTCCCCTAACCCCAAGATAAAATTCCCAAGGGCACATCCCAACATTCCCTGCAAAACCAGGAGCTGATGATGACCAGCCAAGCTGTGATGGCTTCAGCCTGTCAGCTGGTACCTGCTCAGCCACTCCAACTGCCAAAATTTGACCTTTTATTCCTCGAGGAGCTGGAAGAGTTGCTCCAGTACCTTTTCAGCACTCAGGCTGCAGAGATCCTAGTCAGGGGGGACAAAGATCCTTGTTTGGGAAAAACAAGGGGCTTGGCCTTTCACAGACTTTGCATCTTCCACTGCTTCTCTAGCCTGTGGTAGAGGGCATGACACAAAGCATCCAGTGCAGCAGAACATCAGGACACTGAACAGCATGTGTGCATACACACACACAAAAGTTGATGTACTCCCTTCTCTCCACTCCCAAAGCTGAAGCATGTCTGCCCAGAAACCAAAGGAACTGCCATGCCTGGCCATGTGTCCTCTTAGCGCCAATGCTCTGACACACACTATGCTCCCCAGCTGCAGGGAGGACATGGAATGCCAGGGTCTCGCAGAGCTGCTGAGTCCAGACCCCCTCACATCACACAATCTCCCCCAGATGTCAGCTCTACCTTAAAAACTCACTATTCACACTGGAAGGGTCCTCGAGCAGACGCTGTAATGGCTGCTCTAATTTTCAGCTTAAATTTATTTGTGGTCATTTTATATACCACTCTGCTCCTTTGCCAGCATTGGCCTTTGGCTGAAACAGCTCTTCTCCTTCCCATTTCCCATCCTGATGTATTTATAGATAGCCATGATGGCCATCCCCAGCCTCTGCATTGCTAGCCAAAGGAAGGTTCCTCCAGGTCTGTCTAGCATGACTGGCTCTCTCTCATTTTATCCAGTAGCCCCTTCCCTGCTCCAGCTGAGTCTCAGTTCACCTTCCCTGAACACAGGAGATTCAGGTGAGTGATTCTCATGGGTGCCATTCCAACCCTGCAAGAGATGATGTTCCATCCATCCTGCACTCGGTCACTCATCCCTTCCTCTTCCACACTGCCACTTCCCAGTCAGCAAGACTCGGGCTCCTAGGAGATATCATTGCTGTTCCTCAACAAGCACATGGCTTTCCATTTCTCACTGCATCCCACAGCTCTTCCTCCAGCCCTCAGAATTCTCCAGCCTGGGGTGGCAGCCTCTGTCCCCCCAGCTCTGGGAAGCCAGTGATGTTAAAGCAGGAA